TTGAAATAATTGTAATACATAAAATATACTAATAGAGTACTCACAAAACTATCAGCCGAGTAGTTAACCGTAGTACTCAATACTCCAACGAGAGTACTCAGTGGTAGTACTTAATTACTCATGGCCCTTACATGAGAACTCAGTGATAGTACTTTAACACTCAAAACTCATAGCAAGTACGACCAATGAGTACTCAAACACACGAGTACTCATGAGAACTCGCGGCATTTTTTAGCGCGAGTACTTTTTGAGTACTCTCTTGATGAGTACATTCACTAGTAGAACACACAGCAGCCTTTGCCTATTGTGCACAGAAAATTCTCGTTCAGTTCATGAAAAAGAATTATCCTTTGGTCAAAAAAAAGTCAATTACATTAGGTAAGTCTTATCTATATCACACAGAAACTTACATGACTGTTTATTATGTACACGCTGACTTTCTTAATTCTCTTAGCGATGGCGCAACTGCTCATTTTAAGTGTGATGTAGTGTGATTTCGTTGTTGTTTTCTCTATCGTGTGCTTTCATCTCATCTACTTGTATTCTTTCGTTCTGTGGATTGTTCTATTGCGTCTATACATATATATATAGATAGATACAGTAAAACCTCTCTTAGTGAACACCCCTCCAATGTGATCAACCTGTTATACTGAACACCTTCCGGTCCGACCGAGCGAATTTTGCTGGTTTTGCCCCCCGTACTATGTGATCACCTCGCTATTCTGAATGTGAACGCCTTTTTTCAGTCCTTACCATGCAAATCACCCCCCACAATGTGAACATTTATAAAGTGCGACATCTATATACGAGTTGACACTATGCATTGGATTGGCTCGTTGCATAATTTCTTACAGAGAGACAGAAAAAAAAGAGAAGAGCGACAAGATGAAATTCAATTGAATTGGTGAAGAATTGAATTTTATCTATTGTCTTTGTTCGGTGATTGTTCTTTGTGAAATATGACATCTCGTCGAGAATTATGCCTAGAGGAGAAAATGAACTTAATTAAAGAAAAAGAACTTGGTGCATCTCATCGACAACTCAGTGACAAATTTCAGATCTCTCTTGGTGCAGTCTCCAATATATGGAAACGAAAATGCGAATACACAAACGATTATGAAACGAATAGAAATAAAAAAGTAAAACGAAAATTGAAAAATGATTCAAGTCAAGAAATTAATGAAAATGTTTACGAATGGTTTGTTCCTCAAAGAGCTAAAAACATCTCAATTGGTGGTCCTGTTCTTCAAGAATACGCCAGAAAAGTTGGTGAAGAATTAGACCCTTCAAATAATTTTAAAGCAAGCAATGGATGGCTAGCTCGATTTCGTACTCGTTATAATATCCAGTTTAGGGTTATTTGCGGTGAAAGTCGGTCAGTTGATCAAAACACGGTCGATTATTGGAAAACTCGTTTGACAAACATTATTGAACATTATGATCCTGATGATATCTTTAACTGTGACGAAACCGGCCTATTCTACACGCTAATGCCGGATCGATCAATGACGGTGGACAGAAATGATTGTAAATGGGGGAAAAGATCTAAAGATCGATACACCGATCTATATTGGAGTATTTCAAATGTTTACCTATGGAATCTCCTGTTAAATCCTAGGATATAAATTTATTTTCCTGACATTATAAGAGAATGAAACAAATCTAATTTCAATAAACTGCAATTAATCACTATATAGAATAGAACTTATACGTATTATAAAATTTGAAAAATCTTTATATTTGCATAAACCCCCTCCTAAGTGATCAGCCCGCTAATGTGAACAATTTTCGATAGTCCCGACGGTGTTCACAATAGAGAGGTTTTACTGTAGATATATGTATAGTTTCATGTGCAAGTAGTCAGTATTACGTTCCCGTTACTGTATTCCAGCTACTCGTTCCGTTCGTTTCTTTCTTTCATATTGTTATTCTGTTTCTGTTTCTCGAGTCAATAAAATACATTATTGACCTTGACCGCTCTTATTTCTGTTACGTAATTCGTAATACGTGACATTAAGAATAATGCGAGCATTCTAAATCTAGTTCATCACAGGGGTGACTTTGCTGTGGATGCTTGTTGGGCATTGATTGTAACCGGGCACGGTAAAGCAGCAGATGATGGCATCGGATCAGTGTTGAAGTCCACTGCAAGGCGTGCCACACTTTCCAAGAATATTCTTTTGTCCACTGCGAAGGATTTCTATGAATTTTCTCTCAAGCATCAATTAGAAACCGCCAGCAATTCAAATAAACAGCATCCTGGTATACATGTTTTCTTCTTAGATTCTGCGAAAGTCGAACAGGCCAAAGAGAGTTATCAACGTCAGAAGTGAACAACTTCGCTCTTCAGATAAGTCAAACTATTCTCTATTAAATATTTACACTCTCCATTTAGGTAGGATCAATGGTATCCGAAACATGCATGACTTCCAACATATCAACAACAACACAGTTCAAAGTTGGCTGATCTCTCGATCAGCAGAAGTCACCACATTTTCGTTTAAATGAAGTTCTTTTTGGTGTACATTGTTTTTCGAAGTTTTTCGGAAAACACTGGCTGACAATTTTCAGCAATCTAAGTTGTCAGAAGATTTTGTAATCAAAGTGAAAATATATTTTAAGATATTAGCGGTTGGTGGTTACTTTCGCTGATGAAATACAGTCTATATATCCATTTTTCCACAAAAATGCCTCAGAATTTCAGACTCTCCTTATGAATATTTTTTTTCATTTCAAAAATGCTTTTAGACACTTCTATAAGATTCAGCATAAAAAGTTGGCCATAGAACGGTATTTTGCATCAGAGCTCCGCGTAGGATGGGATGGGACGCAAAAAATCATCCCATGGGACAGATTTCAATAGCTTGTCCCATGGGATGGGACAAATAAAAAAAGAGTTGTCCCGCCATGGGATGGGATGAAACATTTTTCGTCCCATCCCATCCCATCCCGTCCCATCCCATCCCATGGGACGTCTGAAATGTCAAATGTTTTTTAAGGTGTCAAATTTTTTTGATTATCATCGATCGAGTGAGACTACGAATTATAATATAGTTCGAATTTCTGTTCTTTTTGCATAATAATGAATGACATCATCCTAGTTATAAATACAGCATTTTAAAAAATAGAGAAAAGAACTAGTAAATGAGAAAGGAAAATATTTCATTAAATACAAAAGCAACTGGAAAAAATAAATAAAAGTATAAAGTTTCAGTGT